CCACATGCATGTATCAATAACATGTTCTGCACCATAGCAAGATAGTGAAAGAGGGATTAAACAGTAAGAGCATAAAGTACTTTCTACATCTTGCCTGCAACCTGTTGTTTGCCTGCATTACCATTGATCTACCAGCAACTACAGCCTGGATCTATTCACATTAGTTCATCACTTTGCACAAGTACTGAAAGGTTGTTCTCACCCGTCAACAGTCCAAGCACTGTCGGTACCTGCTCCAGGAGCAGTTTACGAAGCTCATCTTTCCTGGCGACACTCAAGTCTTCCCTAGGACATGCAAGTTCCTCTGATGTGGTTTTCAACATCACCAACCCCAACTGAGCCAGAGCTGGGGACTGGATCAACTGCAGTTCACAACAGAGTGACAATAGCTCGATCAATAAAGATAAAGATGACGGTTCCCAAACTGGAGGGGGCTAGATGCCTAAATTCTACCACTGGACCCTTTTCTCTTCTGCATTGGTAAATTAAGGATTTATTTCTATCGAAGATCAGAGTTGGTGATTGTTGGAACAGTGGAAAGACTAACAAATACAGTTTTACTTTGTTTTTGTCCACTTTGAATGTAGTTATGATGTTACGATGATGTGTGAGGTAAAAATTACTGGTTTTGTATATGGAGTCTGGTGGGCTGTAGCACCGATGTGTCTGTGCTCTAGTGCAACATCTAGTATCAGTGAATAGATAACCTTTGAAGAAAGTTAACCTGAAGTGCAGTTTAAATATATTTGCCAGATAAAGGGAGAGGGATACTTTTCAAAAAGATTTTTTTTATAAAACACATTCAACACAAACTTGTTGTTTGAATGTAAACTCTGCGTCTTAGTCAACCGGTTAGTGTTGAATATATTAACAGAAACAAATTCAGCTGGGCTTACCTGAAGGGTGTTTGTAAAGAAATCATGGTAGAACATTGGCCAGTCCTGGCGACCAATGTCCACAATGACTTTGCAGAGTTTGTTACGAATGAAATAGGGCACCGCTTTGTGCTGAGCAAGTAGGAGTTTGGGCAGACAGCTGCGAATTTCCATCTTGTCTTGTGAAGCAACACCAATCCACATCTTGTTCACCAGGTTCTGAAAGTAAAAGAAAAAAACAATTCCCTGTCAAAGCTGTGTCTGAATTTATACAGAACAATTCTCAATATCAGAGATTCCTTTGAATGATGATTCATTTAAAAAGTAAGTAAATAAAATAAATAAATAACAATGAAGTGCCTACTGCCCAACATTTTAGTAACACACCTTCCACCAACATAAATCATCTAAATTTTAGCATACAAATCTCAGATGTGCATTAACAAAGGGTTAAGTTAATTAAGGGTCACAGGATGTTTAACCTTTTAACTCCTGCGAAATGTATTATATATGTATCCTCATTTACTGAACATGTTTTGCAGAATAAAAATAAAAAAACACAAGGAAACAGGAGAACTGCAGGAAACAAATTCTACCACTTAATGTGTTCACCTATAAAACAACACTTTTTCTCAGGGAACTATCCTATTTTCATAAGCAAAAAAGGCCCCTATACAGTACTATGAACTCAAGACATGCATTTCCCGCCTACAGGACTTACTTCAAATACTGTGAGGCTGTACATCATTACATACTCATTCCGAGTATTGGAGAGAAAGAACAAGCAATGGCGCCACGCTCCAGTCTGCTGTGCAAAGTTATTCAGCAGCTCTTCTGCACAAAAAAAAAGGAAGTAGGCATGAAAGAGGTATAAGACAATGTAGACCTTCACTAGCAGACAGACTGAAAGTAATGCGTCACAACACAGGAAGTGTAGAAAAAAACCACACTAAACGAAAAAATACTTTTAATAGAAAGCAAATTATTTCAGGTCACATTAAACAGTGACAACTACACCTACACTTCAGTATATTCAGATATCCAGACTAGTTGAGGCAGATATATGCCAAATGTTAAAAGCATTTGACAGAGACTTAATGCATGACAGTTTAAGTTAATGCAATGTGAAACTGACCCTGAGTCATTTCAAATATCTGTCCCCTCATTGTTTTTTAGAGACAAATCATACGTTGTTTCCATTACAAACCAGCCTGTCGAAACACAAATTTCATACTTGCTTCTAGAGTGTATGGTAGGTTTAACAAACTTACCTATTTCTCTCTTTCGCTCATTGGTGGTGCAGCTGTGAAAGAACTCTGTCATAAGGCTCTCCAGTGCACGCAGTGATGACTCCTCTGAAGCCTAGTGGGTGATAAAAAGGCGAAGTTAAGTACAAAATGCACATTTGGACAACTGAATGCAGTAATATTCTGTCATAATCATCTCCACGTTTGCATGGCTCGGACTCAGAGCAGTATCTATCTTGTGTATACTGCAGGACATGCACTCCAAACCCAGTACAGTGCATGTCATGCAGTATACAAGACCTGAAACCCATCCTCACAGTGAAGAGAAAAATGCACACCATTCAGTATCTTAGCATTAAGTATGCAATAATTTGTTAACAAAGAAAGCCTGTATGTTTGTGCAGAGTCCTTCAGCGTGTAGCTCTGCACACTGACTGAAGAAGAGACCTTTGTATGTTAGTGCTGGCAGGCTTATGTACCATGTTGCTCAAGCGGGTCACTTGGTGAATTGATGAAGAAACTTATCTTCACATGCGCTCGCCTGCACTTAGCTATAGTTCGTCATTGCACACATGTATGACTGTGTATGCTTTGGCATTGTGTCATGGAAATATAGTTCACATCATTTGGTAATTCTACAGTTCACAGCTGCAGTATCTGCAAAGCCACGGCCATACAATTCATATTATTCATATTCAAGTTGCAATTGAAACAAATCACTCGTGTTATATAAATTGTAATACCACACTTTGACAGGTGGAGGAACTTGGGCCCTTGTTAGCAAAACCGAGATAGCAAATTGAGCTTTTAAAGAGCAGCTCCTGTGGCAGGCGGGTCTGAATTCCTCAAATAAGCCACAACTTGCCGAGGCTGAACACAACTCACAGCAAATATTCGGTTTTGTAAGATGGGCGTCTTGTACCGTGAAATGGCTTAACAAGCTGTCACATCCCGTGAAATACCTGGCCTCTTGCAAACCGTTATATGACTTAACCGGCACAGAGGCCCGTAGTGCAAACAGTAACACACTTTTATCTAAATGTGAAGAAATCCACAGTCATTACTGACCTAACTTTATGGCTTCCTGTTAAAACATTCGTATCAAAAGCGTATGCACCACGTTAGCTACTAGCAAACACGACAGGAAGACTACGCGAATAACTACACAAATAATGCACATTAAATTACACTTACCATGTTTAGGTGGCTCTGGTGCTTTCTTCACTTTACTTAGTCTCGGATTAATTACAGTAATAAGCCAACATTAGCTACCCAGCTAGCCAGTTCTCTAGCTAACGTTAGCTGAGGTGTTGCTGGCTAACGTAACCGCAGACGGTGCTCATCATGGTC